GACGAGGCTCACAGAGTGAATAACTTCCCTTTCTAATTCTCACAATGCAGGTGCACTCTAAATTATTTTATATGATTTTTACTAGGTCATTAATCAAGCCTTTGAAAATTGTGCGCAAATCATGTATTCATACACTACTACTTTCTGAAATTTCGGTTAGTATTTTAGAATGATCATACTTCTCGTGTCAATAGCCACTTAGACTTCCTTTTCCCAAAAAAAATATTTATTTTTTGTCTGATTTAATAGGAGTTCTATAAATGGCCTGTTTGATAGTCTTTTCTCTCTCTCTCCCCCCGCGTGCGTGCGTGTGTGTTTTTTTTCTTTTTCCTGTGAAAAGATGGAATGTGGAAACAAATGACGCAAAACCTTAATTTTAGGGTCTTAGAAGACAAGCTTGTATCATGAGTCATGAGGTGATCCTCATGATGCTGTTTATTTGTCATCATTTTTAACTTCTGTAAGTCTGGACCAGATCATGCACGGTGCAATGGTATTGACTTTTGCCAATTTTATATGACCTGAAGCCAAAGTATCCATTTCCCAATGCCATGTAGAGCTTTTCAGAGCTTTTTCACAAATTTTTTTTTTATTATCAGTTTTTTTTTTTCCTTTTCTTTCTTTCTTTGCTGGGGTTGGGGGAATAAATTTGTACTGTCCAACCATGAACTACTTGAAATTCTTGTAGTCTGAATTAAGTTAAAATATTTACCCTTCATGTTTTGAAAACTTTTCCGGCTTTTTCAAGCCTACTATATGCTGTTGATATCATAAGGCAGTGGCCCTATTGTGTTTGATTTGAAGTATCTTGGTCCATCAGATGGTTATCTTTTTACTGCGATTAATGTGGAGTGAAATCTGAGAATCCATCTTGATCTTTTGCTGCAGCTCCTGAAGTGGGTTATGACAATTATGTACAGTTTGGAAAATAGATGATGCAGACAACAGTTTTTCAACACCACCATTTCGAATCAAATATGCAAGGCAGGATGTGGTTCTTTCTATTATGATCTCATTCTATCTTTTTTTGCAGGACATGAGGTCAGTAATTGTCTTATCCTTTGATAGTTTGATATGAAAGATATTGTATATATGCAGGTAGTTGAGAGGGTTTCTTTATGTCGACCAAATCAACTAGGTAGCTGACACGCTAAAAACAGATAAAAAGAGGAAAGATTGTTGAAAACATGATATTTGTCTTGCAAAAAAAGTAAGAAAGAAGGTTATGTTTGAGCTTCATGTGATTTTTTGGGGTTTTCCAACGTGGCCAACTGAAAGCCCTAAAAATGTCCTGACTTAATATAAATTTGATACAGTGATATAGTTTCACGTTAAATGAATACTGAAATTCTTGAAAGAAGTGGAAAGACCCCTCAGACAATATAATGAAAACATAAATAATGAACAGAGCAAAGAACTTGGGAAAGGAAACAAATCACACAAGAACTTAGGCAATAAACAAACAATAATGTAAGTACATCATAATTATGTGTCAAAATCAGTTTATATAAGTGTATCAATTCCAGTTACGCTCACCGATGTTTCTTATGGACTTGATTCTTTCCCTCTAGTTCGTAAGATAATGGGTGATGATTGATTTATTTTCTCAGGCAAAATCGTCTGCTGTTATCATGAAGTTTGAGCTTATGCAGGCCCTTACATCTGATATTGGTTAGTCAATGATGCCATTCCCACTTCTTGGTATATTTAACAAATGAAATTCAAAACATGGATATTTATTGAAGTGGAGTTTATTTTCTTGCTAATAATTATTGTCAATTGGAAGATGTGAACCCTGGAACTGCTTGCATCATTGTGCAGAGCTGAGATGCAGGCGTTTCAGATGCTTATTCTGCTTCAGTTCATGAGTATAGAATTCCCCCTAAAGCTCTTCTCGGGTTACATTCATATTGTCCTGTCCATTTTGATGTTTCACATGCTGTCCTTGTTGATACAAGTGTTCATGTCAGTTTGCAAAAAGCTAGCTATCACACAAGCCGACTGAAGGTACCCAGGTTTGTCAGAGTTTCATCTTTAGAAGCTTGCATCATAATGCTGGTCACTGTTGCATCGAAATAATTTAGAGTTTGCATACTTTGCTCTCTCTAATAATTGATTACTTGTATTATGCCAGTGATTATGGGTCTTCTGAAGGTGCTCATGAGGAAAATTCTATTAAGTCAAACAAGGCAAGTTTTATCGCAGTAAATTTCACATGATCTAAGTCTACTTGATTTTTTATTCAATAATATTTTCCTTTTATGAAGATGCTGCTATGATAAGCATGTGATTTATATTATTTGCTAAACTCATTACACTTTTTTTTTCCCCTTGAAATCCTTTTTATTGCTGTAGTAAGTTGTACTGATGGGCAAATCTCAAATCAGGCTAAGCTCATCAAAGCATTAATGGCTGCCCATGATATCCTCCTTGAAGATCTGAGAAGGTTAAGCGAAGGAATCAACCAAGCTATTGATCTTACTGGGATGGATCCCACAATTGACCGTGCAAAATTTGCTAATTCTTCGCCACTGGTACATTTGGACATTACTGATAATAGGTTTTCACAGCAACTGTCTACCAGTTCAGAAGGCAGTGCTGAGGTAGAAAATCTGCAGTGTGAATGCTTTGTTATTTATTCTTCCTTTTATTGATCTTTCAGACTTATTTCTATGTAGCAGCTCAACCTTTCCTTCAATAGAAAGCTAATGGTTATATTGCTATGCATACATACAAATTGTTTCAGTCTTTATCTTGGGACGATCTGTTAAATTCTTATCAGTCTCTGGGAAATCAGCTCTTACAGCTGTGGAACACGTTTCTGAAATTTCACAGGTATGCTGACATATATTACTGAAGTAATTACATGTCCATTAATTACCTCAAGTGTCGCAGCTTTATAGTTGCTCATATTTCTTGTTCTGTATTCCTGCATCTATTCCGATCTTTATTGTATCTGGAAAAGTTATTCCTCAATTTCTTTCCTGATTTCTAGGCTGATATTTCCTTGCTTTTATCAGCCAAGCTTGAGCCTGATCTACAGTCTAAGAGAGTTTTAACTTCTTTGGAATGAAGCTGCTTTTCCGTTTATGCATATTGTGACGCATTTTTATTACTAAAATAAAGTCTTAGCGTGATTGTTTTCTTTTGTCACAAGGGGCACTCTAATAATTTTAACATAATGTTAAAGCATTAAATTGATGCAATGATATGATTTTCTTTTCCCTCCCTTTATTTTTTAACCCAGGGAAAATAAAACAATGATACTCGAATTTCTACGTCATTCATGGGCTATTGATCGAAGATCTGAATGGTCAATATGGATGGTACACTCCATATCTGAGATGCCCCATCAGAGTTTGAGTAGCAGAGTTGAAGGAACAATAATGCGCTGGGGCACACATGGAAGATCTTTAAATTCGAGGAAGTTAACTGATGATGTAAATATCTAATATATTTTGTACAAGAATCATAAACTTGATCATCTGCTGTTATATTTGGGATTAATCATTATATTTTTTGCATGTAAGTCTGCTTAACTAAAACAATTCTTTGGGTCTGCTGTCTCTCTTTTCTGTTTAGCCTTCTCAGACTGCAACAATGCGTGCTGAACTTCATAGACGAGGAATAGCACAAATGAAGGTGAGTGGCTGCTTGTCTAGAATGCTTTATAGTCGTTCCATTTCCTATTGAACGGAAACTGTGTTATATGCTTCTCTTATGCAAACTGGTTGTGACAAATATGAATTTAGTGCAGATCAACAATAGGTCACTTCAAGACATGTATATATTCGAGGATCCTTTGCGCATTCCTATTATTATTATAGAACGGATGGCAAATATGGATCATTCTCCAAGTGTAAATTCTTACTTCAATCCGTTGGAGGCAAAAGCAAATCTTATCTTGGAAAACGGATCTAGAGGCACAAACAAGTCTGGGAGTAGCCCACAACGAAATGGGCAAGTTTTGAGAGTAGTTGTTTTTGTGCATGGATTTCAGGCATGTTTCAGCTCTTACATTTGCCTTCATCCCTATAGTTATTTTGGCATCTCTTCTTACATTTCTTGCTGCTTTGGACCTTCATTTGTTTTGGGATGATATATCACGTAGTAATAAATTCAAAATGAATTCACCAAAAAAAAAAATGAAATGAAAAATCTCTAGATTATCTTCATATGGCTTTTGTTACACAAAACCACTCAACATGTTGGAGCTGAACGGATAACTTTTGCGTTAAATACATCAAATGTTGTATCCATATTTGAAGCTTGTCTACGATGTTTCCAAATTCTAGGTTAAAGTGAGGGATTTGCCTCCTTTCTTTGGATTACCAAGGGTTACATAATTGATGTTTTGAATCATGTTGGTTCATCATTCCTGAGGTTTTCTAGCCATAGCAGCTGGGTACTGGGGGCAGGAAAATATCACTCATAAGCTCATAAACTTTTTCACATCTTAACTTAAGCAAAATGCTGGTTCAACACTGCTAACTTGTCTCCACATTTTGAGCAAAATGACAATTTTGAGATAGCTTGGGTGCTGCAGATTCAAATTGTGTGCTTTTTGAAAACTTATTTATTTGTAAACATGGAGCATTTTAGTCCATTCATTTTGATAAGTGATATTAATCTTTAGGAGAGCCATAGCCTAACAGGTAGCTTCTGTGTTCAGAGAACCATAGCTCAAGCTAGATCACAAGATTGAAGAACCTAATGTCCATACCAATCGGATGTCCGTATCCCATACTTCTGGTGTGGGGCTTAAGTCTCATATTTTGCAGTGGGTCTTAGCATTTCACCTCAGTCCACAGCATGACGACCATGCATGGTTGAGATCAAGTGGAAAGAGGGCTCCAAAACTTGACTTCAATACGGGCAAGAGGAAAAGGAGAGAGCAGGAGATTTATGGGAGAGAAAATGGAGAGAGTTGTAGAAGGTTCTTATACCAATTTGCCAATGATATAAACCTCTAAGATAGTCACAACAGAATTTAGCTCATGAGGTTAAAAGCTTCAGGATCCATCAAGTGAGACTCAAGTCCTATGCCTTTGCAATAGGTTCCAACATTCCAGCATGCTCCACAACCTAGCATCCAGACTCTTAAACCTGGGCAACGACACACAAGCAAGAGAATGGGAGATGGGAAGAGGAAAGGAGAACAGAACGTGGGAAAGAAGTAGAGAATGGAGGGTAGTATAAGTCCTTGATACCATTGATATGGACATTTAAGAGAATCATGCGCAAAAATCTAGCTCGTGGGTGAGAACCATATAATGCCATACCTTGTAAAGGGTCCTAACATTGTATCCTTTATAATCTGTTGTTCAAATGACTTGTTGCACAACCATATGTTTTAGGGCTTGTTTGGAGCTCCGTTCACGACGAACTTTTAAACAAGTTCACATAAGCCGAGACAAAACTCTTATCACATACTTCCCTTGTATTCTGTTAATCACGTTTGAAAAGCTACTTATAAGACAATCCAAACAAGCCCTCAGTAGTCGAAAAAAATTTAGAGGTGTGACCACATCTGTGAACCCTTTGTCCAATAATGAACCTCTAGTATATAACGACAAATCCCCAAATCCCTTGCCTTAACCATTAGCAATAGACTTGGAGGCACATTATAATGCATTGGATAAACATTATGAACCCAAGCTAATTGCCTTTTTGTCTTGAAATGAGCACTTATTGGTAAACATGTTGACACGTCTCATTGAACAATTGTCTATGGATAAAGTTTTCAAGTTAATGAATATAATCTATTGTCTTATCTTAGTCATTGTATCTAGCCACTACAGCCATGTGATATTGGGGCTGGATGTATTCTTTTATTTGAAGTTTGGGATGGTCATAACAAAGTAGCCATGAATGCTTCAAGAAACTCTGCTCCTTTGTTGATTGTCCTACAGAAGGGTTTTACTGTCCCAATAGAGGCTTAACATTGAATTATTCTTGCCAGAAATTTTATCTTATTATAAAAGTTATTAGTACAAATGGGCCCCGTTCATCCTAATTTCTTCTATATATGTGCATGAAACCTCATTTTATATTGTTACATTGAGACAGTCATACTCATGCATCCATGCATTTGTTTTTTACACACGTGAGCTCTCCCTCTAATAAATTACATCCGGTTCCTTTTAGATCTGTTTGTTTGCTCAAGTCATGCCTCAACCATTGCTGTTCTATGGTATATATCTGAAATTAAAGGGTAAACTCGGTCTGTTATACTTTCCCGTTTCAAGTATAAGTCAATCAGTCGCCAAAACCAATGACTAATTGGTAATGCGGATCTACCCTTCACAGCAGTAGACATAGAGATATGCAATGCAACAGCCTTCTTTCTTTTCTTTTATACTGTTGTTTGTAGTGTAGTTTCATCTGCCTTATTTTTTACAATATTTTTGCTTGCCTTTTTACTGATATATTACTGCAATTCTCATGATTTTAGCATGAATTATGTTGTGCTCAAAAGATGTTAGTGGCTTTTGCTGATTGTTATATGTAATATTTTAGTTGACGGCATTCCTACTTTAATGTTTATAGTCATAGTCAATTCATTTCATTGGCAAGTTTAGAATTTGTCTTATCCTCCTTATTGTTCTGTTAATAGATCATTTGACTATCACTTAAACTTTGCAGGGACATCATTTGGATTTACGGCTTGTGCGGAACCAATGGCTGCTGATAGATCCCAAGATACAATTCCTTATGTCAGAGGCTAATGAAGACAAAACATCTGGAGACTTCAGAGAAATGGGTTTACGACTTGCAGAGGAGGTGGTCTCTTTCGTCAAAAGGAAGATGGATAAATTTTCAAGAAGTGGACACCTGAAAGATATCAAGCTTAGCTTTGTTGGCCATTCTATTGGAAATCTCATTATCAGGACTGCTTTAGCAGGTGTGCATGCATAAATCTTATAGAAGTAGTGTTGATCACAATCACATTATTAAAAGAATTTCTTTTTCTTTTCTTTCTTTTCTTTCTTTTTTTTGTTTTTTGTTTTGAATTGCAGAGAGCACCATGGAGCCATATTTAAGATACCTGTATACATATGTTTCAATATCGGGTCCTCACCTGGGTTATATGTATAGTTCAAACTCTGTGTTCAATTCAGGGTTGTGGCTCTTGAAGAAGCTGAAGGACATACAATGCATCCATCAGCTGACATTTACAGATGATCCTGATCTTGAAAACACCTTCATCTACAATCTTTCCAAGGTACTGAATTGTGAATGCATGCTTATTTTCTCTTGATATATGGTGAATGTTTTTTGGGGTTGTGGCGGGAGGTAAGCAGTGATTACTGGAAATTCAACTGCTAGAAGGTTGCTGCCTTGAAGTTTTGGTCTGAGTCTTGTAGCTTGTTTATTCTTTTGAATCCTCATGGCAAATGTTTTCTATGCTGTTCAATTTAGTTGGCGTATTTTGATGAAGGGAACAATGGGAAATAAGTTTCATTTTGTTAGTCTTTAGCTGCTGAAGTTAAATAACATCTATTCTTTTACTGCAGAAGAAGACACTGGTGAACTTCAGGAATATAATACTTTTGTCCTCACCTCAGGTAACCTTTTTGGTATGCTTATGATGAGAATCTGGATAAGTTGAAATTTAATTTTCTGAATTCCATCCTGAGAGCTTGCATTCATCTATTTGATCATTTCTGTCCTTAATATAAAAGCTTGTTTGACTTTTAATTTGATTCTAAATATAAGATCCCAATCCACTTTATCTTTCATATTTATCTATTTTTTCTAAGGTATGGTCCTTGTAGCAGTTGTACATATTAAATATTTCATGAAATGACACTTGGTTAGTAAGGGCATTTTAGGAAAAACAATACTTATTTATTACAAACAACTAACTTAACTAATTTTCTTAATCCACTCAAATTAGTAAATTAGCTATTATCTTGAAGACCCATGGTAGTAGTAAAAAGTATATATCTGAAACCAATGGATCAAGAAAAGAAACGGGAGCTGAATAATTAAAAGAAATATGCTGGGTGGAAAGCTCACTTCTATAGGACCTTTTTTTCCTGCCAGTATAGGACTTAAAATAATGCATAATTGCAGCTACTCTATCTGCTTTTCTGCGATGGTCCTTTAATATGGTTTCTTCACATTTTGTGTTGGTTTTATTAGAGCTATCAACTAGTTTTGATTATATGCCTTGTGTAAAATTAATAATTCCATAGCACCGTTCAACTCAAAAAAAATAATTCCATAGCACTGTTTTATTAAATATCCATTTACCCCTTTCTATTATTTGTTAAAATATTTCCTAGCGCTTCCTCTCAATTTCATTTCAGGATGGTTATGTCCCCTACCATTCTGCCAGAATTGAACATTGTCCATCAGCTTCCTTGGATTACTCTAAAAAAGGGAAAGTCTTCCATGAGATGCTAAATAATTGCTTGCACCAAATTAATGCCCTCACCGACCATGGTGTGGTCATGCGCTGTGACATCAACTTCAATACCTCCTCATACGGCAAGAACTTAAACACACTCATTGGGCGGGCTGCTCATATAGAGTTCTTGGAGTCTGACATTTTTGCTAAGTTCATAATGTGGTCTTTTCCCGAGCTCTTCACTTAGTCTTGCAGAAATCTACATGGAAGTCTCTCAACTCAGTTCATTTTGAAAATTGGCGAAGGTTTTTGGCACAAGATTTCTGCACCTGTATAACTGATTCCTCCATTGGAATCAAGAAAATTTCATGGGTGCCAAGTTCAACTCCTTTGAAGGTCGAAACTCCTCCAGGTGGGTATAGTAGGACAAAAATTGGTGGATCCTTTCCAACCTTTGGCCAAATTTTGCTCCATTTTTCTTTCACAAGAGCATATAGTAGAGCCATTGAATTTTTATGGGACCTTGGCCTGTGAATTACTTACTATTCTGTTTTATATATTTTCTCGCTCAATGTCCAAGATAGGGATGCACCTTTTATGCTAGTAGTCTCTACTGGGCTCTGCTAAAGGACCTGATTATTAAGGGTTTGCAGTGTTGCTTAGTCAGGCATGTTGTATTACTTGGTGTACAAGTAACAGGAGCATAGGTGTACAATATCTGTTGTGAGTTTATAGAAGGTGTCAGCTCAGTAGGCTTAGAACCTAGAAAAAGTGTACATTCTCAGTTGGAATTCGATGAATTTCCAATAAAGTTACTGTCTATTTTATTTAGAAAACGCTGCTGTAATATTTTTATTTGAGATGTCTATCAAATATTGATCTATTCCTCAAGACAAGCATCTTCAACTATTAAAAATGTAAGATTGGGTTGGTAAGTTCGTTGACCTTTTTTAAAACTTCAAACCCCTCATAATTTCTTAAAGTATTTATTGTTCCAAATAAATCCAACATTACGGCGGGCATCTGATAGAGCTTCTTGTGTATATCATCAGGTAGCAACCATTTGATACGTCATGTATGATTTCATTGTGGAATCATTGACAACTCATTATTTTAAAGAGAATAATTTCGGAAAACAAACGTTTCTAGCCATTTGAACCAAAATTTGTAATTAATTACTTACTTTATGATCAGACCCCAAAATCAAACACATATCGAGAAGTTTATTACCAACTTTGTAATTAGACCATGGCCTGAGAAATAAAACGTGTTCACAGCAAACTGTCTCAATGGTAGTACAATCCCCCACGCTTGGAGAAGGTCTCAACTAGCCGTTGACATGTTTGTGTACATACATTTAAATTGTGCGCTAAAAAAAGCATGTAATTTTACTATCACCTATAACATCTCATTTGACTGTTTCAAGCACAATCAAACTCTTGAGGATGACATTTTCTGTCTCCAAAATATTTGTCCTCCGTACAATAAGTGGACATCACTAGAGTAGTAATACTAGCAGCAGTGTCATTACAAAAAGGATGGCTTAAAGCTCATGAATGTTTTCTTTTTCCTCATTGTGAGAATTTACTGTATTACAAATTTTGTAAGAAAAGTGCAAGTGCAAGACATAAACCATATGAGCAAATAAGGCATGAGATATTTAGGAAGTAACCTGAACATTATGTTCTCTCACACAAGTACAGAGACAAATACAAGGCAGGCTAGGAGTTTATACTCTAAACGCATTTGGTAACTCTTCCTCCTTCCAAAAAGCAAGATACAAAATGTGTACGCTTCACAAATTTGTACATTTGATCTTCCTCTGTAACAAGTTCACCGATTTCCTTACTCTGCATAGTTTGACATACTCAGGTATTCCAGCCCCTCAGTTCTGCAAGCCATGATCTTTCGGAAAACTTCCCTCACTTGGCACTCCAGTGGATCCAGACCACCTTTAAAAGATTCATAAATCAAATTCAACTCCTCTGTAACCTGTTCAACTTCAAATTTCTGCTCCTCTGTTAATGGAAGCTGGACTGAATCCACCAGGTCTGTCAAGTGTTGGGTACATCTCTCCACTTGATATATCTCCTTCAACAAGCCATTTGAGTTCCGGCGTTCACGCTTCTTAGACTCCTCCAAGATTCGTTCGTGAAGTGAGGTTATGGGGGTGCTCCATGAGAACTGCCGCGGTATTGAAAAATGGATATTCAGACCCCTATCCTGACAAGGAATCGCTGCTACAAGAGACCACAAGACAAACAACAGAACAGAGTACATTGTAAACACAGGAATAGCAAGACCATTGGTTGCAGCAGTCTCATTTGCACGAGGTGGAGCCAAGTTATTTGCAATGGATTGCAGTTGCTTGGCTGCAGACCAGGAGCGAGATACACTCCAAGAATGAGACCGAGAATGCCCTGAGTGGGAATGCTTATCTTTGCTTGTGTTATGACGTCCAAAAGATCGGTTGCGTTGTGAAAAAGCAGACCCAGTGTCATCAAGCATTGCCAGTGCCAAATCCATCAATGCCTTTCTTGCTCTCCGAAACATGCCTTCACTTAATGCTCTCTTTTTAGAGTCCAAGGCAGACATGACAATCTCCAATTGTTTTTGCCACACCCGAATCTTCTCAACCCCTTCACGGCTCGCATTACAAATATCAAGTGCCTTCACTGAACTCTCAAAGAATTCAGAAATTATTCGATCAAGAGGGGGTTTTGAGATCTGTTCCTTCTTATTCAGTAGAATGGCCCTGAATTCCTCCTGGCAGCAGACAAATGCATCAAGGAGCTTCAGCATCCATTGGATAGAGAGCAATTCATCATCACTGACCCCACAAAGCTCATCGAATCTATCCGTGACCAGCTTCTGGAATGATTCAAGCCCTGTATCATGGGATCCGGATTCATGACTCACCTCCAAAGAATGAACCTGCTCCCGCCTGATACCAAATAATGAACGGCCAATGGAGGAAAATGGTGTTGAGGGGCCCTGACTATCCGACGACATTGTCAAACTTCAGAGATTACTCCCCCTCAAGATACTCAGTATTCTACACCAAAAGCCCAAAATCAACAGATCAAAAGAAACCCACCATGAAGGCTTTTTTCTAATTCAAATGTATCTGATCCTGAGGCATCTAAATTCATCATAATTAAACACTCAATATCCAATTGGTCAAATTCATTAACTTCAAAGCGGATCCAATCAACAGATTGATCAAATTCCAATCCTGAAAGCCAAACTCCAATCACAAAATATCTTACCTCCCAATCATATGCTCTCCATCACTTCAAACTCGAACAAAAGAATTTGCAAAACCATGCTCAAGATCAAACAATTTCTTCGTAATTGACTTGATTCTGGGGCAAAAACAGTGTCAACTAACAATCAAATCTTTTTTCCCTGAAAACTTCAGAATTGTCAACACCCAGATGCAAATTCAAAAACGCTTCAAATAAATTAAAGATTTTCCAGAAAACCATGTAAGGAAACTGCAAGTGCAAGAACACAGATGAAGAAAATCTAGAAGTGGAGAATAAAGGGAATACCTTTGAACTTCGAATCAGGTACTCGGAACACATTTAACATGAGTCTTTCAGAAGGATCGAGTTCAAAGGGAAAGCACAAAATAAGAACTTTGAAGCTTTTACAAGTAAAAAGTAGTCGTAACAAGCACAAACGCATAACAATGGGCAATGGCAGATTCGCAAACCCTAGCGAAGGACCGAAGCCCTCGCTTTGGTTGTCGTCAGTTGAAGGAACTGATGTAACGAAACGAAAATAATGTGAAAACTGAAAACGCCAAAAAATTTTTAAAAATAAAATTAAAACCATCAACTTCCTCAACAATATTTTTTTCCTTTTGAAAAATCATGTGAACTAAACTAAAATAATTGGGTAGCACATCAATTTCCCTTACAGTTCTTTGATTTATAATAATATAGGCATTAAAAAATTGTTTTTTTAAATAATAAATTGCCGGAGGAGGATTACAGATAGAATAAAAATTATGTACAGAAACCGCAGCATCAGTTTGAATGGAATAAATGTTAATAGCACGACGTTTGATAAGATATGTTTCAATTAAGTTTAAATATTAATATTAGGGAAAATGACACAAAAATTATACTTGAACTTGGAAATGCCAAAATGATCACCTGAATTTGTAAAATCCTAATTTACTCACAAGTGACCAATTTGACATTTATAAATTTGTTGAAATGATCACACTACCCTCCATTTTATTTATTGTTTTTTAAAAACCAAAGTCCTCATTAGTCGGCCGGTCGCCGAAACTTTAACAGCCGGAAACAATTTTTTTAAAAATTTTTACAACTTCAGAATAACGGCTAACAACTTTTATAACGTTATTAATAACTTCAGTATAGCAGTTAATAACAAATTTTTCGGAAAATTCAATAATTGGTCGTCGGAGCTCTGACGACCAGAAACAATTTTTTTGAAAATTTTTACAACTTCAATATAACGGTTAACAACTTTTATAATGCTATTAACAATTTCAGTATATTCGTTCACAATAGGTTTTTGAATTTATTAACGACATTATTGAAGTTGTAAAAATGTCACTTTTTGAATTTTTCAAAAAAACCTGTTGTTAACTGCTATATTGAAATTGTTAATAACGTTGCAAAAGTTGTTAATCATTATAGTGAAATTGTAAAAAAATTTTAAAAAAAAGTTGTTAAAGTTGTAAAAATGTTATTTTTTTGAATTTTTAAGAAAACCTGTTGTTAAATGCTATATCAAAGTTGTTAATAGATGTACATAAGTTGTTAACGGCGTTACTAAAATTGTAAAAATGCTACTTATTAAATTTTTTGAAAAACCTATTGTTAACTGCTATACTGAAATTGTTAATAATGTTACAAAAATTATTAACCATTATACTGAAATTGTAAAAATTTAAAAAAAATAGTTGCTAAAGTTGTAAAAATGCTATTTTTTTAAAATTTTTAAGAAAAGCTGTTGTTAAATACTATACCGAAATTGTTAATAAAGTTACGGAACTTGTTAACGGCATTACTGAAGTTGTAAAAATGCTACTTTTTGTATTTTCTAGAAAACCTGTTGTTAACTGCTATACTGAAATTATTAATAGCGTTACAAGAGTTGTTAACTGCTATATTGAAATTGTAAAAAATTTTAAAAAAATTGTTTCTGGAGCTCTAGTGACCAATAGTTTAATTTCCTAAAAAACCTGTTAACTGCTATACTGAAATTGTTAACAAGGTTGTAAAAGTTGTTAACCGTTATACTGAAATTGTAAAAAAAAATTAAAAAAAAAACTAGTTGCTAAAGTTGTAAAAATGCCATTTTTTTAAATTTTTAAAAAAACCTATTATTAAAATGCTATACCGAAGTTGTTAATAGAGCTGTGGAATTGTTAACAGCATTACTGAAGTTGTAAAAATGCTACCTTTTAAATTTGCCAGAAAACTTCTTGTTAACTGCTATATTAAAGTTGTTAATAGCATTACAAGAGTTATTAATCATTATACTGAAATTGTAA